AGCCCCCTCTGCGGGAGGTCAAAGGTCAACCACGATGCACAAATGCAACCGTGATCGCTGGCTTGTTTAAGGAGCCAGTGCCGCTGCGGGGGGGGGGGGGGGGGGGGCCATGTCAACGACAGGTGCCCAACCCCCCAGCCCCAATGTCAGCAACAGAAATGGACAAGCCACGTAATAAAACAGAATGTGGGCATGCGCGTGGCCACTGGTCATTGACCAGTAACTTAGTCAAGTGGAGCAAACAGAGAAGTCATTCACTGTCTGTTGTTCTTAGTGACAGGGGGCAGAGACCAAATTGTGTAAAGAGTTTTCTTCTCTGAGAATTTATGACGAGAATAAGTTTTGAACACCAACAAATACTTCCTGCTAAAATATGGTCAGTTAAGAAACAATGATGTAACAGCACACCCGAGTGCTAATTAAAAAAAGCAGTAGCCCTCTTTGAATTGGCATACCTGACAGAGTGATCATGTGATGTCGAGAGCTCGGAGGTTCTGGGACAAACAGTATCTGAGACGTTAAAGAGTGACATGTGATGCTCAGCAGGATGTGGGACACTGGTAAAACTGCATGAGGTGTTTTACTAAACCTGCTATTACTTGGATTGATTTAACAGTTCCTCCACTCACAAAAATCATATATCATCTCTACAGAATATTGCTTATTAAAAAAGTAGCAACGTCCTCTATCAGGGAATGGCCTAGCGTGACCTCTGACTCCTCGGCACAACGGGCGACACCCACCTGCCTCGAGCAGCATCCGCGCGGTGCGCAGGTCGTCTGCGAGGACTGCGTAATGCAGCGCCGTGCAGCCGCGGAAGCTGGCCCGGCTACTCAGCCGGCTGCTGAACTCGTCCTCTCTGGTCACCAGGACTGGAAACACATGGGAACAAACAGAGGATTCCAGGGATATGTGAGGGACGGCAACAAGCGGGGCTCAGCGGGGTTCGGAAAGCTCAGTCCGCAGCCTTGGAGACACGTTACCATCGACAAAAAAGAGGCAAGACTGGAAATTTCATTTAATACCCACAAAATGAATGCGTTTTCCTACACACTTACGCACACGCGCACTCATACGCAGAAAGGCATCCTTTCTATTCATTACTGCTCTCCCCACAAAAATACGCTGCAGACGCATCCCGCACACCAGCACTCGCATACAAACGCAGACACACGCACACGCCAAGCTTCCTTCCCTGGCTCCAGGTTCTTGACAGCCCCAGTCGTCATCTGTAACAAACGTCTGAGCCGGATAATCATGGCAAACTCAATAAAACGTCGCAGGAGGACTCCGAAGCCATCCATCAGCCTGCATCTGGGAAATCTCTCTCCCAGACGACCCAAAAAACTGCCATATATAAATATGTCTCCCGCCAAGTGCCCTTCCGTACACTCCGCTGCAGTTTTTATACAGCTGCAGACGCAGTTATGAAAAATAAACACACACGATCAAATGAAGCGCTTACATATATGCAAATAGGGTAGGGGGAGGGCGAGTTCCATATTGATGCTCTGAAATTTATATGTATAATAAGGGAAACGCTCGGAGGTCAAGAAGGATGGTCGGGGAGCGGCAGCTATGTAACAGCAGGGAGGGAGGGAGCATTAAACACACAGCCTCCATCCCAGGAGTGTAAACACACAGCCTCCATCCCAGGAGTGTAAACTGGGTAGGAGTGTAAACTGGGTAGGAGTGCCCCCCCCCTAAGGCTTATTCAAGCTGACTATGAGGACTTTCGTATCACTGCGAAAGCTTCTTCCCACACTCAAAGCTGTAGGAGATGTCCTCCATCAGAACGCCGCGGCGTGGGGGGCGGCCAATCACCTTCGAGGGAGTGGATCCCCTTCTCACGCGAGTAGCTGTAGACACTGCTGAAGTCGTCTCCCAGATCGGGGTCGGCGCCGCCTTCCAGGAGGGCTTTCACCACACTGAGGGAGGGATGGACAGACGGGTTGAGTGTCAGGGACCCACCCAGCATGACAAACACCCCAGTCCGGGCCTGTGAGCCGTCTGCAGTCAGTAGGTCTCGGTGAAGTTGAGACTCTCCGCCATACAAGGACGTCTAGTCCCTGGAGGACACCGCCAGCAGTCCGCAGAACGTCTGCCTGCTAATTGCTTCTGTGCACGCCACTACCAATTTGAATTAATTTAATTGTTTGACATCTAGGTATAATGTTGTCATTGGATCCAACGCTAAGGACTCTTGGGAATCCCAGTCTGCCGGCACAGCGCCACCTAAGAGCTACTCCTACACGAGGGCATTTGGAGCCCAATGCCGGCCGCTGCCGACTGCAGGCCGCAAGGTGAGGGAGCGGTGTGGTTAACCGTGCCGTCCCAGGGAGGCCCGCCGGCATCATGGGCGTCTGCGTGTTTCCGTTCTGAGCCACTTGGCATATGAACCAAACCGGCAGGCAGGGAAGCGGGACGTCTAGGCTGCCGGCAGAGAGCCTTCAGACCCCCGGGTGTCCCTTTGTCTGCCTGCAGCGTGGGGGTTGGTGGCGAACACGACGGACGGGGTGGGGGGGGGGGGGGGTACTTTGGGGGTGAATGGGTCCCCATTGTTACTGTATCTGTGGAACCGTGGGGCCAGTGATCCGAGCGAGGCTGTGACCCCTGGAAAGCACTTCCCCAAACAGCCCACGCAAACACGCCCAGGGTGGGGAGGGAAGGTAGGCAATGGCGGGGTAGAAAGAGAATCTTCTAGAAAGCAGAGAGAAAAGGTGATTTCTGTGAAGGTGGGGGGGGGAGAAAGTAAACAGCAGTGTGTCAGTGAATGGCGGTGGCACAGGACTTTGGCCTCTCATCCTGACTAAGCTTCGGGGTGCAGGCATTCCCAGACAGCCACCGTGCAGTGCGCTGTGATTCTTATTGTATGGAAACCAAGGCTTTGTGAAGCAATGAACCTGACTGTGATACCTGGGCTCTCAAATGGACCAGACTTAAGCCTAACAGCCTGTCTCTCAGGGCCTGGATTTTACTCAGATACACAGTAACGCCTGCTAACGAATACTAATGCCTGGTGGGGGGGGGGTGGGGTCACCTGTCCTCAGAGGATGACGGAAGACACGTCTCCATCACCTCTGTCTACAAAAGAAGCAGACAGAGAGAGGAAACAGGCTTTTCAGGGAACAATGACCACAACCTCATCTGGCTGCCTGGTCCAGACTGTCCTGTAACTCAGCTGCTGAGCTGAGCAGCCTGTCACACACCAACCTGTTGATCGAGATTAAGAGTTTTATTTGTCACGTACATGAATGTCCTGGTACCCCAGCAATGAAATGAAATACATCATGCAAAAAGTAAACATGAAAAAGTTATAAGAAAATATTTAAAGTGCAGATTGCAGCAACAGCTTATTTTCAGTGGTGTTAATGACCCTAATGGCCTGGGGGCAGAAGCTTCACCTCGGCCTCTCATCCCGGCCATGAGGCTCTGGGGGCGCCCGTCTCAGGGGGCAGAAGCTTCTCCTCGGCCTCTCATCCCGGCCATGAGGCTCTGGGGGCGCCCGTCTCAGGGGGCAGAAGCTTCTCCTCGGCCTCTCATCCCGGCCATGAGGCTCTGGGGGCGCCCGTCTCAGGGGGCAGAAGCTTCTCCTCGGCCTCTCATCCCGGC